TCTTATAGCCTAGGCCATCTTTATGTAGAGCAACAATTTTTTTTATTTTTATTTTTTTTCCTCAGATCCTCAAGTTCTTTGCCATGAGGTGCCATGTTGAGTTTCCAGTGACCAGTATGAGAACGATAACACCAAATTTAACACACCTGCTCCCCATTCACACCTGAGGCCTTGAATAATAGCAAACAGGGTGATGAACCGCGCCCCAAAAACAATAAGATTTAACAGAAATTGGTGATCTATTACAAGATATATTTAAATCAGTTTATATTCCGTCTACATACGCAGGAATAGGATGATTTCTGTAACCTTAAAGGAAGCAGAAATGGACAAAATATAGTGTCATATGTAACAGTAATTTGGACTATTTGAGGTAGGTATGTAGCATTCTAACTCACAATTGGTTGAGCTACTACTGCTGTTATGCGCCTGTACGGTACAATCCCCGTCTTTGGATATTTGTAGCTCTGTTCTGTTGTTCTTTCCGTCCAATATATATGGGAAAACACAATAGAGAGGTCTTATGGTGTAGTATGTATACAAAGTTAAAAAAAAATAAAAGGCGGTATTCTACTTACAATATTCAGAGCAATGGCCTGCTCTGGTGTGGAGAGCGTTGGTGGAATTATTCCCACCTAGGACATGCCGCCACCTCTCCAGTGATGTGCAAGTTTTGCAATACCCATAAATGTCAGGTTACCTGAGGCATTGTAACAAGTCACATGACACCGGGGAAGGAGAATGGCTAATTGGGCCCAATTTGGAAATTTTTAACTTGGGGTGTACTCACTTTTGTTGACAACGGTTTAGACATTAATAGCTGTGTGCTGAGTTATTTTTAGGGGACAGCAAATTTACACTGTTACACAGGCTGTATACTTACTACTTTACATTGTAGCAGAGTGTAATTTCTTCAGTGTTGTCACATGAAAAGATATAATAAAATATTTACAAAAATGTGAGGGGTGTACTCGTGAGATACTGTGTGTGTGTGTGTGTGTGTGTGTGTGTATATATATATATATATATTTTGGAAGGCCATTTGGCCTGAATTTGTGGGAGGAGTTATGATCCTATATAAACCCTACCCCCCCTACTTACCTTTGTCGTGCAAGCTGTTTGTCTCCATAGTTACCTGCACTTCCGGTCGTTGTTCCCGCCAGTCCTGCCTCGAACAAACACTCTATCTTCAGCAGCTCCTGCCGCTGACATCTTTGCTCGTCCACCAGCTGCCCCGCTGTATTCCTTACTCGTTACCCGGCGGTCTTGCTTCTGGTCACAGGAACGGCACGCATACTTAAGCATCAACGTGGGAAATAGCGTTCGGCTATTTCCCACGTTCGGGCCTAAAAACGCGGGGATAGGCTCCCTATATTACTTACCCGTTCGTGTACTTCTGCGTTCGTGTGGCTATTAGCCGACCGCAGAGTACATACTAGTTCGTTTTTCTTTCGTTAGTATTAAATACCGACCGCTTAAACTCCCCTACGTTCGCCTGTTTCTTACATACGTTCATTAGCCGAAACATGTACGAACGGCTGTTTTATTAGCTTTTAGTTTTTCCTAATTTATCACATGCGGTCCTGTTATATCCCTCTTGCACTTTCATTAACCGTACGCATGAGGTTTTATGCAGTTATTTGTATAATTTTAAGTATGTTCCTCAAATTTGTTCCTTTTATAAAACATATGTACACAGTTCTCCCTACGTTTTCCTTAAATCAGAGTGTCACTATTCATCACCCATAGTCACATTTAATTATGCATATATTCCCATGGGCATTCTCTTAAGGACACAGTTGCCCCCCTTATGCTTTTTTGATGTCAATAGGTCAAGCCAATCAAACCGCTTAAATTTATCCAGCTCCACGCTCAATTTGTTCATTAGCTCTTATTTCTAAAATCTCTATTTATATTAAAAACACTATACTCTGGTTCCTTATTTTTAAATAATGAACGTGTTTTAGGTTCTACTATTCTTGTTCAAGAAAACTCCAGGAGATGGTTCCAGTATCCCATCTCGCGGTATCAGGTAGAAAAAGGTTAACATTTTTACGTTTCTCCTGAGGCCTCATTCAGCCTCCACGGCCTTTTTTTTTTTACTATCCCCTCCCACCTCCCACAGTGGGTTTTAACTTTAAACACACCAGGTCTAAAGACGCCTAACCCTCCATGTTACTATTATATTAATGTGTTAAATTTGTTTATCATTTCTACATATCATTACTTAGACCTGCACCATGTCGCAGATTCACTACGCCATCAACAAACCAAGAGGCTACCTGGTCCCCGATGTTTCAGTATCAGGTATCATTAATCTTACTCCCTACGATTACGTTCCTTCTAAGGCCTCACTTTGCCTTCGTATCTTTCACAAGTAATGCACATTTGTGGGAATCCAGAGGCTTGTCTCAAAATATTTAGACCAACGTTCAGGTCCCTCAGCTTACACTGGTTGTTGCGCTACAGTTTCGCCGTTACACTCCTTTCCATACGTTCTACATTTTTACACTTGGCATACCAGTGGAACA